TGAGCGAGCGGCTGTGTGGTGTTCAGCTGCCGGCTGAGGTTAAACCACGACATCTTTAAAAGTGTATAATATATAAAAAGCTACACTAACCTTAACTGGAAAAGTATTCTTTCACTTTAAAGAATGTTTTTGTCCCAAGAGCTGGGAAGAATAATACAAACATAATGCAGTATATGAATGTCACAATTTTTTCCTTTTTTAAGTCATGTTAAATCCCAGAACAAGGAAAACGCTATTTTGTTTATTAGGGGTTTGGTTTTCATGTCTGAGCACTGTAACCACCTAAAGTAACAAAAAGTTGCAAGGAGAGAGAGAAAAAGAAATAGAAAATGCTAGTCTGTGGGGATGTGAAGCAGGAGCTGTGAACCATTTACCATAATCCACTGAAACTTAACAGGCTTTATTAAAAGTGAAATGTGTATTCAAGTTAAACACAACAGAAACAACCAATACGTTAACTACAGCCTTTGGTACAGAGAGGCAGAGGCTAACTCCTTCTGTAAAAAATTATTTTCTACTATGCATAAAAATAGGTTTCCAAAAAGCAGGGGTAAGGATTTGTAACGAAGTATAGATATCAAGCTATCTGGCTTTGAAATGTGCCAAAGAACTACAGAAGCAAAGTAAATATGCACGCCCATTCGTACTGCACTTATTCACAGGGACTACAGAAGTCCCAACAGTATCATACCTACTGAAAAGCTAGTTAACCCTAACCTAGTAAGAGAAGTTTTTGTATATTCTTTTACTTTTCCTCTTTTTTGTTTTTTAATATGTGAACAAGAGGACTGGAGCACAAGAGATCTTTCGTAATAAACACAAATAAAAAAGAAGATTCATTGTTCCAAACTGAGGGAGACCTCGGCTCCCTTTTTCTCCTGCAAATGATAGAGGAGTTTATTCCCCTGCTCCATGAGCTATAGCAGAGGATCATCTGTTACCACTCACACTGTTATCACTGTTCAACCCAGGCTGGGAGACAACATGAGAGGCCTGATCCAGAGCTTGCCAAGGCTGAGGGGAAAATTGCTTTTGGTGGATTTTGAATCAGGCCCTAGGAGTAAAAAGGCCAGCCTGCTGCTGCTGAAAGTCATGACATGGAGAAATCAAAGCTAAGGTGAGGGACAGGGAAAGGGAGACTGAGGTGGCAGGGAGAGAAAAAAAAAAAAGAAAAAAAAAGCTCTGGAAGACTCTTGCTCTGGGGTTCAGCCTGGCACCCTCAAAAACTCAAGGCAAAAAAAAGTAACGCTGATCTTTCAAAATGATGAGGCCCCTAATGCCATGGTCATATTGCTCAGCTCGACTAATATCTTTGCAGATAACATGCAATACAGCAATCTCTATGCTCATTCAATACTTGTCTGTTTGGAGTAATGACTCCCATTTGTGCCACAATATGTGATGATGGTGATATTCCAATAGCCTAGAATTGCACTAGGAACATCTACCAATAATTCATAAAAGCTGCATGTATTAAACTAACCTTCAACCCTAATGGCTTTAATAGGGTACACATCAGTACACTGGCTGTAACTCATACTGGATTGCTCCAAGAAGTATTACAAAATGTTTGTGAAGCCTCTCACTTACTGAAGATGCTCTGCTAAATCACCTGTAACTCTACAAAGATGCCATTTGAAGTATAATAAAAAATATTTACCTATTTCAGCTAACTTCTCATAGTCAACCTCAGACATGTTTCCCCTTAGGAACAGGTCTATGCAGATCTTGCTAAATGATTCTTGCGGGATGAAATGGTCCTTGGGTCAACCCTACAAAAATAAAAAAAAGTAGCTGTCATCACAATGTGGCATATTTTACACACTATACAGATATAAAAAGAAAACAACCACCACCCCCAACCCCCAAATCCTACTGCCCAATTAATGTTGAGGAACCAGTTCATCTGCATTTGGGCACCATTTTCTTACAACATAGAGTACTATAGAAGTGGTTTAAAACAGTGGTCCAAAAAAGAAAAGTTACATACAATAACAAGACTTTCAACAAACTGATCTGGTTTTATTGGGGGGCGGCTCTTTTTAAAAATACTTACATATTACACATTTTTAATTATAAACATCAGAATTGCAGATTAATTCACTTCCAGAAACAACATACACATTCTTAATTTTTTCTTCATTTTATTTCCCTGACGAAGAAGATATATACTCCATACCCTCACATCAAAGTCACTTATTCTGTAGCAGTTTTAAGTTTTATTACAGGAAATGTTTTATACCACACATTTCGCATGCAAGAGCTTCATGAAAATTTCAAGTGAGCATTAACATATAAAAACCTGAAAAAACAGCACTTCCTGTGCGTAATCACTGCTTTTTGTCAAACACTCTGCAGAGTGCTTTGTAAACAGAATACTAAGTAACACACCCAAAGTGAGCATCAGGAGCGAAGAATACGATTTAGAAGATCTGCCTCCCCAAGCAGCTGCTCCAAGGAGCAGTAAGAGTACTTCCCTTAAATTAAAAACCCAGACTCAGGTATGGAGGTGAGAAAGAAATTGAGCTTTTCATACTCTCTTTTTAATTTAATTTAAAACCCCTGTTTTATAGCAGTTTGGTTTCATCTAAGCATGTTATATAAAAAGAAAACAGGCACATTTATGGCTTGGTTATTGAGAAAAGGCATATGCAAGCATGTTCTTCTCCTCTGCCAAGAGATTAGATATTGTATTGCTACTTCAAAGCACTGAAACTGGGAAATTATTTTGGACTAAAACCAAACAAGACCAGACAGTCTGCCTGCTTGCTTCTGCCCACTCTGCATGTCCCAAAGCTTAAGTAGGTTAAGTAGGTTTATTCTAGACCCACAAGTCTGAAAGCTAGATACCACCCTTTTTTTTTTTCTTTTTTTTTTTAACCGGAGAAGGGATATAGAAGTAGTTTTCTAGAAATAAAATGCACATCAACAAAGCAAGTAAACATCTGCGTAATTATAATCATATGTTTATCTATTTTGCTGAGAAGGGATTAGTCATTAGAGTGACCACAGTTACAATGTATGAACTAGAGCCGAGCTCTAACCAGCTAATGCAAAGTCTATCCTCTGATATAAAACTATATCCAGTTTATATAGGCAAAACAAATTTGCACCCTAGTATATGACTATAGCTCCCAGGTGCTACAGTAAAACCATGACCTGCTAACCATCATAATATTTAAAAGAGCTTCTGATAGCTAATGAAGGCTTTCCATAAATTTTCAAACCATTTCACAGATCTGATACTAATGTAATAGTAATTATCACCAAAGGCAACCATGCATTTCCATAACTTGCTGCACTGCAGCCAAAATATGATCATGGTTCTACCACTTCGAAGATTTTCAAACACTTACCAATTATTTTATAATAAACTTCATTGTTTCTTGTTGAAAATAGTTATCTCTGTTTACAGGAAACTCTCAATTTAAAAGCACATACACAGGGAAAAGTCCCATTAAGTTTGAAAGAAAATTATGCAATTTCTCACTGAGCAACAATTTCCTTAAAAAAATGAAAGCAATTCTGGGCCAGATATATTTCAGTTCATGTTAATTTTACCACATGGTATTCAAAATGACAATTCCATTGTTGTTTTTAAATTATGATTTTAAAAAAAAAAACTTAGCAATTGATATTCGAACCAGTAATTAATTTGTTTATAATTACTCTCACTGGTATTTAGACATTTCTAAAATTAACAATTAGCAACTAGTGTGATAATTCATGGTTTTTTAGCAACTAACTTGTGGCAGGGATTGTAGATGATTTAGTAATTGACGTAGTTTGCTCATAAGCACTTGGTATATTATCTGATCATGTGTACCTGTGATGGTCAGGAGTAAATGGTACGTAAGTATCTACTTCAAAATAACAAAATTTAAAAATGTTTTTGAAGCAAAGCATAGTTGCAAAAAAAGGAAAGCTGACTTTTTCTATCTTACCTGAAGAATTTCCTCCCAACTTTTTTTCCTAAACAAAATGTTCGCATTTCATAGGAATGTAACAATACTGAGAAGTTTTCAAGGGGCTCAGAATTCAACCTACAGCTCACGCTTGTATTCACACCTCAGCCTCCAACTTCACCGAGTATTTCAAGCAGGCCTTTCTGCTCTCTGCTGAAGCTGGAAGTTGACCACAATAAGCTCTTTGTGACTTATTTTTCTGTTACGTTTTTCAACTTAGTTTTCATAGACTACCACCTGCGTTCAGCCAAACTTTCAGAACAAAGAAAGCCAATGTTCAATATATCTGATCTTCACAGACTTCATCCCAGCCAAGTATTTCCCAAAGCTCTTACAAGGAAATGGGGCACTACCTTTCTTCTAAAGTACCTATTTACACCAGGCCTTTCCATCCTATTGAATTTTAACCGTAAATCATAAATAAAATCATAAGTCAAAAACTAGGCTATATCTTTGACACTACAATGCTTTTCTCAGATGACATGAGAAATGAATTGATGGAACAGAAAAAAAAGCCATCTCCTTGAGCTTGAAGAAAAAAAAAATATATACAATCCTTCTGCTGCATAGCATTGAATGAAATACAATTTCTCCTTCATACTAATTGCTAACGCTATACTTAGCAGTAGTAAATCTCTCTCAAAACCTGCTGAAAAACATCTGGCTTTTGAACACCAAAGTTACTCTACAAGCGAGAGCAACTATGATAGTGTTAAAACATTTGCAAACATTTAACACACAAAGTTACCAGGAAGCTAGAAATAATTTAGACAGACTCAAAGAAGAAGGGAAATGGGGGAGAAACCATCTGCCTGGTTTTCAGCTTACTGCTCCCTTGAGGCAGCAATTAGAAAGTTTCCAGTCACAAGACAAATTTACTGTAGCACCCTCGGAAATTGATTTCCCGTTGACCGCAGCATTCTCTGTTCCTAGGAGATAACATAATCTCCTTAATCGCGTTCCATGCCACGTATCACTGTTTCTAGTAAACTGTCAGATTTAGTGCCTTCCCCCACCACACCCCGCCAAAAAGGCAGTAAAAAAAGCCCCAAAAAGAGCCAAACTACAAGCCTTTCATTAATAATAGAAATTTGGAAGTACTTTACAAAATACCACATCCTATATCCCTCCACAGGCAAGGTTATTACTTACTGACATCCCAAAAAGAGCACTACTTTATTGAAAATGAAGGCAGTCACGCACGCAGAACTGCTTGATAATGAACTCTCATCTACAGATAGTACAAACAAAGGCAAGGGATTCCTCCCAACATTTGTCAAGGCGCAGACGTCTTTGATGCCTATTCTTTTTGTTCACTCAGCTGTCAGATATGTTCTTCTTCAAATTTAAATAGTGTGGTTTCTCTTCTTTTTTTTTTCCTGATGTTCTTGCTTTCCACTGATATTCTTTGTTACTTTCAAAAGGTGTGACACAGCTCACCATGTAACATCAGTCTGCAATTTACATTTTGATAGGATGAGAATTCTGTGTACACCCAGCATATGCTAAGGGGTATCGTCTACAAAACCAGGTAAAGTGGCTTCAGATTATTTTATTATTTATAATACTGCAGTAACTTTGCTATGGAATTTATAAACACAGCAACATATGAGCTGACTGCATAATGTACTCGTGAAAAGTGTATTCAAAGCATCCTGCTTTTCTTCCCATAGTTTGTCTGTACTAAATAGTATTTTTCCTCAGTGTATTTCCTACACAATGTCTACCAAAACCAAAGTCCATGTTCTTCATTAGCGGTTTGTTTCAGGTATTTGACTTTATTTTGATATTTATTTTCATATTTCATACTGCAGCCTTTCAATACTTAAAGGGGGCTTATAAGAAAGATGGTGACAGACTTTTTAGTAGGGCCTGTAGCAACAGGACAAGGGGTAATGGCTTTAAACTAAAGGAGGGTAGATTTAGACTAGATATAAGGAAGAAATTTTTTACGCTGAGGGTGGTGAAACACTGGAGCAGGTTGCCCAGGGAGGTGGTGGATGCCCCATCCCTAGAAACATTCAAGGTCAGGTTGGACGGGGCTCTGAGCAACCTGATCTAGTTGAAGATGTCCCTGCCCACGGCAGGGGGGTTGGACTAGATGACCTTCAAAGGTCCCTTCCAACCCAAACTATTCTATGATTCTATGATATTCTTTATTGACCTACCATTCTCTGTTGGCAATACATTGGTGAAAAATCAGCTAGACCATGCATAGGAAGTAGACACTAAGAGGACCGACTGCCAGGGAGAGCATACAGGGCTGTGGTTCTTTGGGCCTCCTTTATTTTAAGGACTGATTTGGGTCTAGTTCAGCTAATGTCAAAAGCCTGCCTTGCTACTCAGAGGGTCTGCCACAACCTACACCAATTTTTGTGACAGAATAAATAAAATCAAGAGGATTACTGTACTTCCACACACACAACGCATGGATTAGCTTTTAAAAAGGAAACTCTGGTTCAGCAGCAGAGCAGTTGTACACCCAAGTAATACAAGCAATACAGTTGATGTCAGTGTTCCTCCACTGCTCACCACTTCTTCACAGATCAGCCTTTTCCTCCAACAAGCTCCCTGTCCCCGAACTCCCGGCTGCCTCTGCTGCAGCAGCACCAACGCCCAGCCGACTCTTCTTGTTCTCCCAGCTTCTGCTCCCATTTCTGTGTAAAATGCTGTGGGGGTGGGCAACCTGAGGGGATGGAGTACATCCTCACTCATTTTAAAACACCAGTACTTGTTAACGTTGGAGTTATTTGAGATCTGCATCG